GTGTCCGCGGCTAATCTTCGGCGAATCGCCCGATTTTCGCGACCCGCGCTAACTAGAGCTTACTAATGTACATGGCCTCAGATTTGGGGCATTCCGATGTTGCATCTGACTCCCACTTGGGTTGGAATCTTGCTCTGAGCACCACCAGCATGGTCAACTCCTCCCTGCGTGGTGAGTAAACTGCGCAGTACTTCTCTTCTATGGCGGCGTTGTCACGGATTAGTAAACATGGTCACGTGAGATGACTGATACATGTACTTACCTTGGCAGACTACATAGTTAGAATAGACACACTTCTCTTCTTCCCAACAGGCATGCAATGAGCGGAGCAAGGCCACGACGACCACGATACGCCGGGGAGGACCTACGACCCACCAGCGATAGGGAGCTCTGGGGATGGTACGCGTACACCCTGGCCGCTGAGGTGTATGCTGTCTGTGGCGTGGGTAGGTGCATCTAGGATAGAGAATAAAAGTAGCGCATCACAACTGACGAACCTTAGGTTCATTCTTGCCCGTAACCTTGGAACAGCTTTCGAGGGAACGCGGAGTGCTTCGGTCAGATGGGACAACATCATGTGTCGATGCATCCGCAACAACAGCAACACGGGATCTTATCGGCAGAGACGATGATGGACAGTGCATTGTTCAAGTTCTAGGCATGGAAGTCAGTACTTCGAGCTTTGCCATGTACACGACCTCTATTGCTGTGCTCATTCAAGCGCTCACTATAGTCTCCGTGAGCGCTATCGCCGATCATGGTGAGTGAACTTGACCTAGGCCATCCGCACAATCGGCAATGCTCTAACCAAGTCTGTAGGAGCAAACAGAAAGAGACTACTCTTGACGCTGGCGTTCATTGGATCTATATCCTCCATGCTTTTTATATTCGTATCTCCTACCGTTTTCATGGCCGCTCCTATCCTGGTTGTTATCGGTGCGACTTGCCTCGGATCATCCTTTGTGCTCCTGAACTCCTTTTTACCTCTACTTGTAATGAACCACCCTTCAATCATACAAGATGTGGACGATCAGTCGGATGATGCCAACAACCAAGATGCTCTACCTATGACACAAATGTCTGCAGCGAGTGCTGAAAGAGACTCGATCGACTTCGATCGAATTAACGAGCACACGGCAGCCCAAAGCGTCACGGCCTTTGCCCAAGCACGATCAAATCACATGTCTCCCGAGCTCCAACTCTCCAATCAAATATCCTCCAAGGCCGTTGGTGTTGGCTATAGCTCTGCCGTCTTCGTTCAAATCATTAGCATCGTCATTCTGGTCATCATCAATAAGTTTGCTCCGCCAATCTCCAAGACAACGCTGCCTCTCCGCATTGTACTCTTTCTCGTCGGCTTCTGGTGGCTCGCGTTCACTCTACCAGTGGCTCTGTGGCTACGCCGCCGCCCTGGCCCACCCCTTCCGTCATCCATCTTCCCGTCCATACGAATCCTCTGCGGCCGTGCCTTCTCGTGGATATCGTACGTCCTTTTTGCCTGGACTTCTCTTTTTCAAACCGCGAAGCTAGCCCTCCGTCTTCCCCAGGTCATTCTATTCCTTATCGCATGGTTCGTCATTTCCGATGCTATCGCCACCGTTTCCGGCACGGCCATTCTCTTCGCCCGGACCGAACTCCACATGGGCACCGCGTCAACGGCGGTTGTCTCCGTAGCCGCCACCGCTGCGGGCATCGCTGGCGCCTTCGCCTGGCCACCCTTAGCCCGTCGATGGTGCTGGGACCAGCGCCGCGTTATCGTTGCCAATATCTTTCTCTTTGAGATTATCCCTCTGTACGGCCTCTGCGGCTTTTTGCCTTTCGTGAAAAGTTGGGGGGTTGGCGGCCTGCAGCAACCTTGGGAGATCTTCCCGCTGGCGATTATTCACGGGATCAGTATGGGAGGTCTGTCAAGTCATTGCCGAAGTTGTTACGGCCTGCTACTACCACCTGGCAAAGAGGCAGCATTTTTCGCCCTGTACGCCTTTACGGACAAAGGGAGCAGCGTGATTGGCCCGGCTATTGTAGGCAAGATAGTCGATTCGAGCGGTAGCATAAGGCCGTCGTTTTGGTTTTTGGCCGTGTTGATTTTGATCCCAGTGCCGTTGGTATTGAGATTAGATGTTGAGAAAGGGAGAAAGGAAGGAGTCGTGATGGCTGAGAGGCTGTTACAGGGCTTGAAGGGCATTAGGGATGGCGATATTGGTGATACTGAAAGTAGGGATTTGCGAAGCGATGAGCATGAGGAACTCCTAGCGGAAAATGACGAACGATAAACTCTCGCTGTTAACGGAGCGCCGCCTTGATGCGGATCGATGGGGTCAATCGCAAACATGATCACGAGTAACGAGGAGATGGCGAGGACGAAGATGTCAATACCAAGAGAACGCTTCTAAATTATGTATTGCTGGTTAATTGTCTTGCTATCAAGGTACATCTGTGCAAAACAAATTGAAAATTTTCTAAAGTTAGGATGTGAATTTTTGCAAAAGATATCGACCGTCATGGGACTCGAACCCACAGCCTTGCCCTTAGGAGGGGCACGCGCTACCATTGCGCCAAACAGTCTTTGAACAATATAGTAGGCAACATTTTTACTATATATAAAATAGATTGACAGTCATGCTGAGAGTATACTATATTTCCATATTCTCTTTAGCTCCCTTTTTATCTAGAGTTGCCGCAGGTACTCTGCACAGGCACAAAGTGGAGGGTTGCTTCTACTGTACAGAAAAGATACCCACGTATCTTCATTATTACCGAGTACAACTCATCTACGTATATCTTTCTAAGCTCAACATTGATACCCTCCACTCCTAGCTATCTTGCAGTGAGGCAGTAGTAGTGCTATGCGCACATGCACCGCACCGAGCAGGGAGAGATATTCCCATTTACAGCCGGTATAAAGTTTCAGTGAGTTTCAAGCTTCCAAGATTCCGGATTCCTGGCACATATTACAGGAACACAAATCAAGGCTTTAAACTTTTGTTGCACAGCCTTCGAACCTTTTGCTTTGTACATGCTACGTAGAGTTATCTTTCATTAGGCACGCTTGGCACGATAAGGCTCAGCTCTCGCCTATTTTTGGGGTCCGGCCATAAGTGCGGGGAGTTGTCCGAAAATACGGCCTGGTGGCGCTCTAGCATACTACGGCTGTATCTCTATATATATATGTGTATGTAAGTTATAAAATTTTTTTTTTGAAGGGCTATTTCTAGAAACAGCAGAAACATGTTTCTATTAATTATGGATAGCATCTTTAGGACACGTGTCTACTTTATTCTGGGCTTTACGTAGTATGTACGTGTAATCTCACAAGGCTTGGAGATACCAAGCTCGCCTAGTGTTACTTTCTGTCGGAGGCTGCTGATACGCGAGCTAGCGGTTAACGACAGGCTCTGACTATGGGTGAGGGGGAGGTGCAGGCTACATCACACACCCACGCTCACCGAAGCAACCGGCCTCCAAGCTCTGCGCCTTCCTGGCCCGTTCCTGACGCGGGATTCGGTGAGCGTCACCCCTCGGGGACCTGCATGCAAGTGCGATTCCCGCACACTTAGCCGCTTGTGAACAATTCCCCCAGTCCCGGTGCGGCGCTTCGCCGCGCTGGGCATAGCTCGTCGGGTCAGCCCCGCTGATTCCGAACGCCAACCTTCGTTGATGCGGTTGGGGACCCGAAGGTCCCTTACAAACTACTGCAGGTGCGGCTGGTTACTGCAGCCATGGGGTGAGGGGCTAAGGAAGGCAGCGAGGGCGGGGGAGTAAACAATGGTTGAGTTTAAAAAGGAGCCCGAGTGCCGGTTGACGGGAGAGCTGTTTGATTTCTCTGCCCGCTCCCTCGAACGAAAAACTCTGATCCCAAGGAACTATTTGCCCTTAGACTTGGACGTGGTGATACGGATTGCCATAGCAAAAATGGCCGGCAATATTACTTTCGACGGTAGGGCTGGTTTTTGCGGTACATCCTATTCATTGTGTATGCTCTAACAAGTTCGGTATAGACTACCTCGGTCTTTGCGCTGCGATGTTCGAGTGGGCCGATAGCTACGATACCAAGGTAGACTCTCTAGGCGCAGTTATTGCGTGGTTTGCAAGTGTACTAACAGCGGTCTAGGACTGGGAACGTTTGCGGAAATGCATAGCTCCTACTTTGAGGGTGAGTCATGGTGCTCATATCTTCTCTCTCCCGTTCGAACGCTCTTCTGACGGGTAGCCAATAGATTGACTACCGGTCTTTCCTCGACAAGCTCTGGGAGGCCATGCCGGCGGAGGAGTTCGTCCAGATGGCTTCGGACCCGGCCGTGCTTGGCGACCCGCTGCTCAAGACGCAGCATTTCATCGGCGGCACAAAGTGGGAGAAGATCTCGGACACGGAAGTTGTCGGGTGGCACCAGCTACGCGTGCCTCATCAGCGCTACAAGGACGAGAGCCGCACCGAGGTTGCCGTCAAGGGCCACGCCCACTCCACCAACCAGCACTGGTACAAGAAGGTCGATGGCGTGTGGAAGTTCGCGGGCCTCTGCCCCATCATCCATTGGGGTGAGTACGACTTCGACAAGGTTTTCGCTTCAGGCCGCGAGGAATTTGGCGACCAGAAGTAAATTTGATGCTGCCGCCCGCTGTGCAACGGAGAACGGTCGCTCGGCGGGAATGAATGAACCGGTCATGAACTATACGGGATTACGGGGACCCTTGTGTGAAGGCTCCGACCGAGGTCACATCGAAGTCTATAGCGTTGGAGTTGCATGCGTGCGACCAGTACCAATGATCAAAGGACTAGTTTGGTACTTGCAGCAACCCAGTATCCTCTTACTGTGATTTGTGACTTGCTGAGTCCTGGGCGGGCAGGCTGACAGCCGTCATCGAAGCATCATATATACTGAGAAAAGTAGGACCTAACGCCGGTTAAGCATGCGTGGCAGGCGTAGCAAGGCACTCCCCATCTACCGGCCGTAGAGTAGTGAACGTAACCGTTCGGAACCGATGCTCAAGGAAAGATAGAAGCCCAGTGACTGCGACTTGAAGAGGGATCCCACGGCCTCCCATGGCCTCCCATGGCATGGAGCGAGAATCAGTTTTGGAGATGCAGACTTCACGACGCATGCATCCCGGACGGCGCGAAGAATATGGTATGTTTTGTGGCTAACGCTCTGGCAGACGATATATTTTGCGAGTTACTCTAGTTCGTAGGCGGATGCAGAGCAAATCCATCAGGATTGATGCCATTGTGCGGAACACAACGAGCACGTAAGCTTGTCCGTTGATGAAGGGGTGAGAACCCCGCACCTGCAGTGGTCGGCGTGTGCTGCTTTGGTACCTGGCCACCTATACTACTAGTAAGTACTTGAAGCTTACCCACCTAACGCCCCGCCTCGTCAGGTGCCACACATAGCCGAAGCTCAGTACCGGGGAAATAGGTTGGTACTCGACAGTAGAATACAGCTACGGATATCTGTCTTATGGGAGGCACCACGGTAGATTCGTCGAGGTCAGGTTTCGGTGTTTGTGGCACCCATGCCGGAATCTCTTTTCAAGTGCAGCCGCACCAGCTGTGGTGGAACTCTTGCACACGCTTAAGCAAGGAATATCGCCCAACGACCCGGAAGCAGGCCTGTGGTGAGCTGGGGTCAGGCGGAAGAGGGAGCGGCGGCGAATAGCGGCCGCAGGAGAGCGGGGCACGGCGTGGCCACCCTGCCGCGGGAGACGTGCCGGAGGGGAGGGCGAAGCACCAGGCCATGGAAAGAGCCGCGGGCAGCGGCGGTGGCAGCGGCGAAGCGCGTACGTAGCAACGGCGGAACGGGCATCGGGACGGCGGGCAAACGGCGGCCGGACGCCGGCGTTGATGTTGGAGGCGTTGAGGAGGCGCGGCAGGCAGGAGCACCCGGGATGGGAGCGCGCGCTCCGGCTCGGCGGCGGTGCCTGGCGAAACCGGGCAGGCGGGCGCGCGGGCTGTCTATACAGGCATCTATATGTACGCACATGACGCAGATCGACCGCGATGCACGACACGGCAAACGCACGGGAGGCACCAGCCAGGACCGCAGGCTGGGCGTGGCCGGAGCGCCACTCGATGACTTGCAGGGGGCGACCGGATCGAGCGGCGCGGGCTTTTGCGGATTGCGCGGGCCAGCGATCGCGGCATCGCGCACCTGCCCAGGCCCCACGCCCCCGGCCACGGTTGCCAAAGCTTAGCGCTGGCGCGCCGGCGCCATTGGGCCAGGACGCGCAGCGCTGCTGATTCAGCCGGCCTGCCCTTGGCCGAGCCTCCTCGACCCCTCCCGCCGCTCTCTCTTACCTCCAGCTGCTATTGCCATCGGCCAGCATCACTTTTTCCTATCGATATCGGTTGCGTCTTCCCTTTGCTCGCCGGTGTTGGTCGTTTGCTGTGTCTTGCCTGCGCCTTGCCCTCCCAGCGTTTGTGCTTTCCGGCCGTCGGGGTGCGGCTGCTTCTACGGGTCTCTCGGTGAGTGCGCACGCCTCCAGCTTTGCCGACAAGGTTTTTCTTTCCACCTTCCCGCCGGCCTCGCCCGCTTCCCATCTCCGGCCCTGAGCGCTGCCCCGCCCGCCTTTCACCCCAAAGCCCCTCTCAAAAGGCCGTCGCCGCCAGCAATTCGCGCTGTCTGCGGAGGCTGGCCGAGCCCGCGCTGCGTCGCCGCCCGGGTGCGCGTCGCCGCCGTCGCCGCCGCCGCCGCCGGCCTCGGCGCGCCGCGCGCGCATTCGCTTGCCCCATTTCACTGCTTGCGCTTGTCGCGCGTGCGATTGCCTGCTCCCCCGGCGTCGCGCGGCCTGGCCCGGCGCAATCCTCGGTAGTTTGCGCCTTCGCCTTCACCACCTGCCTGCCTGCCCGCCTGCCTGCCCGCCTACTACTTCCTACCGCCTCCCGGCCTCCAGCGCCCACCTTCCTGCCCACCCACCTTCCACACCTTGCACCCGCCGCTCCTACCTCTTTCATAGCTTCCTCCTTCCCCGCGCTCCCGTCACGCGCGCCCGACCCGCGCATGCATGTGATCTGACCACGCCCCGACTTACCTTCTCCCACCTCCAACACAGATTCATCTGGCGTGCTCGGTTCTCGTGGAACGCGTCCCATCGTGCTTCATCTCATTCACGGCCTCTTTCTCATTATCGGTACGTATGCTCTCCGCTCTCCGCAAGACAGCCTCGTCGAGCGCGTGCCCGCCCCTTGGCCCGACATGCCCGCTAACATGCCCTCAAGGGATCCCACGCCTATCATTAAAGTAACGGCTCTTACGGCATCCTAGTCCTCGGTGGTTCTCGGGCGTTGTGCCATTTCACACCTGGGCCGTTCTCGCCATCTTTCATAGACTTGCTTTTCTCTGCACCCTTAAGCGAGACGTGCGGCAGTAAACGGGTATTCACACCTCAAGCGGTACGGTTCACTTGGCGAAGATCTATCGCAACTGTTGCCTTCAGTCATGCAAGCGATTAACATTTACTAGGTCACCTTTTAGCGTATTCCGGTCTCAGTCACCTGGAGTTCGCTTGCATAAAAAGTCTACTCATATTCCTTCCTTCCATACTTTCTCCACCTTTCTTACATCCACACA